GTTGGCCATGTTATCATTTTTTTAACGGCAGTGCCCATCAGAAGCAATGAGCCATTCAGGAGTTATCAAGTGAGCGATATTGGGTCACAGACCACTGATGACGGATGACCAAATTAGAAGGCTTAGGAATGTACATCAGCACAATACAGACAGCGATGTTTACATGCAAACACATACCGGTACCATTTGGGTACGTGTGCATGTACATGTACAACATGCACATTGTTCCAAATGATACATGTCCGTATGTTCTGGAGCCAAAAATGTTCAGTGAGAAATGCGTACATACAGTACCAGTTTGTGCTAGTCTAAAACTAAATTCCAAAACCCACATTCTTGTCAAGTCATTTGGGCAATTCCATCGTTAAGGACGCTATGTTTATATGCAACTTTCAAGTTTCAAAACAAATTAACTTGTGGTGGAAAAAAGTTAATTGCTTTTATACATGTAGCCTGTATTCAAGTGTTAAATATATTAAAAGAAAGTTTTATTTAGCAGCAGTCACTGATTACTTAGCCATAAGCATGAGACATGACTGTTACGAGCGTTACACATTATTACTTTTAATAATGGCCTTTTGACCTCCGGTACATTTAAGTAAAACTCAATGAAGTTGCATCCTTTTGCTTTTTATACAAACTACATGTAGGTCCGAGTCCAATCTATCCAGGCATGATTTGACAGCTGGAAAAAAGTTCCCCTGAATAACAGTCAAATTTTGTTATGTAAAGCTGTTACAGACATTACATTTTATGTTACAGATGTTGTACGTATAGAAATATACACTGTACATGTACAGAAAATGTGAAGAATTAGGCCCATTTTATTTATTAAAATTTTTCATATGGTACATGTACACTCCACTGTCATGATATCCCCTCAGATGCATTAAATTGAGGTGTATTCCTAACCAGCGACAGTGGAGAAAAAATTGTAAAATCAATTTGAAACGTCGACGGTCATGTCACGGTTGGTGTGGAATTGTCCATTTGCAAAACATGCATGTACCGGTACATTGCTCTGTACATGTCCATGTACAATGTACATGTACAAAATGCAAAAAAGGCACTTTTGGTACATGTACCTTTTAGAATCTCATCCTATCCCTGTTGTCTACAGTCAGTTTCAACAGTTCTATAAAGCTGAACACATCTTAGTGAGTCAATACAGTGCAAATGAAGTTAAGGGACACCTACATGTAGAACAGTCCTTTTGCTCTCCATTATTTCACAATGGCACAAAAATGGCACATTTTCCAATGGATATCCTATACACGTATGTATCGCATTTTGGAAAGTACCTGTACATGTATGTAAGCATTCATCCATAAATACCAGTACAAGCTGTACTATGCAAGTGCCATGCAAGTACAGTACCTGCTTCAAAAGTACATTGCACTATCTTCGCCACGTAATTACACTAAGACCAAAAGCGCTGAGAGCATGCAAGTTAGGTAATGCAAGTCCCCATGAGGATTACTAAGCACTGGAGCTGAATTTTGTTCCTGAGATGATCTGAACAAAATCAGCCGGGGAGAACGCTTGCAAATGTGAACCTTGCCTGGAGGACCCAAACTGTTGGCACAATTATCCAACAGCAGGGTGGCAGATTCCCTTGGGTTCAGACAGAGCCACACCCTTGTCCGTGCAATGGCATTTTATTTACACAATGCATGCACGGGTGCACAAGTTTTAATCAAAAGGATCACACTGCCAAGCTGAGCTAGAGTACACGTACTTTTGAGAGCTAATCAGAAGAGTGAAATTTTTCCATGGGCTCATACACACTGACATGTGACTTTCTAAAGTGAAAGGTGATGCAACCTCAGTAACATCACTTTTCAAAATCCAAAATTAATTAACATCACCCCGGCGCAAATCCATCCTTATAAATAGTTGTTCGCGGTACCTGCTGCTACATCTGACTCAAACCAGCCAGCCAAAACTTGCAAGCTTGGTGGTCGAGTGGATAAGACGTCTGCACTAGTAAGCAGAAGGTTGTTGGCTCGACTTCGAGTCCCACCCGAGTACACTTGTGTTTTTTCTTTCACAAGCCTTCAGGGGCATATACTGAGTATACAGTGTTATAATACACGTCAGGCAGGGCAAAAATCCAAAATTAATTAACATCTCCCCGGCGCGAATCCATCCTTGAAAATACCGGTACATGTACATGTACATGTATGGTCGATGTTGAGAGGCCTACGTACATATACATGCAGAAGGATATGAATTGATAGACTTCACAGATACATGTACAAATACACTGTACATGTAAAACATGATTCGACAACAGTTGTTCTCCCACAGAATTTACCAACATGCGGTACATGTACATTAGTGTACCGTGTACCAGTGTGTGGGAGTGCCGGTCATCATGCAGTATGCCTACTGATGTCTGATGAGTGAATTAAGCTGTACATGTTGTGCATCACCACTACAGGACATGTGCATGTCAGATTTGTAATACTGAATTGCAAACAATCACAGACTTGTTCCATTTGTTCCACAAGTACCAGTACAGGTACTGGACATGTACATGTACTGGTACCAGGTACTGTGTATCGGTATATGTACATGTATAGTGTACATGCACAACACATATATATCCATGCACCATACTGAACTGGCATGTAAACTTTAGTGCTGCGGAGAATGAACCATTGTGCAGTTTCCTTCCTTCTGACCTTCAGGATATTGGTCAAACCTAACCTTTCTAGGCAAACAATGGCAAAACCACACTGGTAGGCAGGGTCATTCAAGCACACAGTAGTCAGTAATGTGACCTTGGGCCTACTGCTTAACTTGAGGGGAAGTACAGAAATCAACCTTCCCCTAAATTAAAGCTACATTTTGATACATTCATCTTTTTGTTTCTGTGTCAAAAACTTTCAGACAAGCATGGTTACCCCTTACATACTGTGTAAATAGTCAGAAAATGTGCAATGATTTCACAATCCACTGCCTACCTGTACATGTACATGTACATACACATACATATGCATGTACTGTACATGTACCGTACATACATTACAACTGCTGGAAAACAAAGCATGCAGTCATATAAGACCATGCCACCAGAATTGTACATGTAGTTCCATTAATCCCATCCCCATAAATGGGCCCAGATACACTGAACTATCAATACCTCTGTAAACTGGTACCCAACACTGTTAAGGTCAGGTGTTTTTGTGCACAGTTCAATAGGCTCAACACGCTGGATAGTCCTGTATACCTACCGGTAGAGTAGCCAAGATAATGCCTTTTTTTCTGGTTTAGCTGAATTATAATTAACCTACAACTTTGCATGCTTAGTGAAAAGAATTCCATACACATGTACATGAGGCCACTTTACTTCCTGTGCACAAACCCTGTAAGACTAGTTAGAAAATGTGTTTTCTGAAGTGAATACCCAAATATTTTCAATGCCACATTTGACTCTTTAGGACATTTTACTGCCTTCAGATGGATTACAGAGGTCAATGCAGGGAAACATTTGTGGCATCCATGTAGAAGAATTCTTTCCTTTCTGAGTACATTGTACCGGTAAATGTTTCAATTGTTTCTCTTCTAAATTTGACCCTTTATGACATGTTAAATGCTTTCTGACGGCTAATATACTACATGTACTTGTACTACTGTAAGGGAAACTTAACGCTAACAATTCTCAATCCTGCAATTTCAATATGATTTTACATACACCCCTGGGGGTTAGACATGTCGAAAAGGTATGTGATGTCCATACATGCAACTCTTCCCATAACGATATGAACGGGTTCTAAAGTTCTAAAGAGTCACACTAGACAGGGCAACGTGCAAGCATTTACTGTAAACAGAATTTTTCAGACCAGTTTGTATTAGTCCACATAACTTGGCCTAACATTAGCAGGTCCGGAGCCAAGGCTCGATCTGGCGATGCTGCATCGTCGCTTGATTGTGTGATGATGATCTCATTGTATTCTCAAGAGATTTAGAAAGTTTCTGAGATTTCACACGGAAATCATACAAGTTTCAAAATAAGATTAAAGAAATTTCTCTGGACCATTTACACATGTACATGTACTTCTCGAAAAAATTATCAATGTAGTGTCTTATCGCTCAGTCCGTTTATAACATATGTAATAAACGGACTGAGCGATAAGATACTACACGTACCAATGGGCTCTTCCAAAACTTTGGCAGCAGTTTAGATGTCTTGACATGGAAGAGCCATCAAGACGATGAGGGGTCAAGTGACGTAATGTTCAACAACCTTATTTTAAAGATTGCGACTGTGAGAGCGCGCCCATTAGATTGAATGGATGAAGGCAAAAAGACTGGAAAATACCTCAATAACGTGAGTGAAATCATTCAATAAATGGTTTTTAGAAAGCGAAAAGGTCAAGAATCATATTCGTGTGCAAAAGAAACTGCACCCACGATGATAAAAGGGTGCTGAGAAATGTCCAATATGCCGACACAAAATTGCGTATACGGATGGATCAGGAGTGAGAGTCCTTGCCACACTAGTGGGGCTAAGTAGGGCCTATCTGTCATGTCTGTTCACTAACATTTTTAACATGACTAGTCTATTAATGTTGGGCCTACAATTATTTAAAATCGCTTGGTAGGCCTGGGGCGTAGTATGGTTATCCCGTATAATCATGATCATGGACGCGACTTTACGAGACCTCGGGTCAGAGCAAAGTGAAAACAAATGTATTTTAGATTGCTTTGCATGGCAAAAGTGCGTTCATCGCGGGTTGTTTTCACTGCGCTGGCTGGAAGTTATGCACAACCATAAGTTGCGTCCTCCTAGCCCCACTAGTGTGGCACGGACTCTCAATCCCGATCCGTCCTTAGCCACACATCCGTATACGCCGACACAAAATTGCGTCCTCCCTATATTCCTCCATGTTAAGTATGTAGTACTCTATTTTGCAGTACAACTGTAACGTGAAAAAAAGATTACATATTAGTTGAGTAAAGTTACTTCAATGGTTAATACAGTTGTTACTTACCAAACATCCGTAAATGCATGTTTGTGATGGGGTTGAAGGACCCGCAGGCCAGCAAAACAACTCTTGTGGGCGCAGCCATCTTTTTTTCGCACGAACAGAAAGTGCTCATGGGTAATGGATCCTTTGCCGCGGAATCCGAAGTTTTGTGAAAACGTCGACTACAGATCGAGACAAATTTGAACCTAGTTGGCATTCTAAAATATATTATTATTAAGTTTTACACTTTCTTTGATATTTTTAATAAAATGAATATTTTTTAAGGAACGGAAGACGAACATAAAATTATATTCTTTTAGAAAATTGAACGAGGTAGATAACACGTGCGGTATTTTGTTGTGCAACTAATCGCACATAGAAGCTCAGCATAAGTGATTGGGAAGAGCCGTTGGAGAGATAACGTCGTTTTATTCGGAAGAAGAAGTCTTATCTTTGGAAGACTGTGACTCTAATGTAGATCAGAATGTAAAGATCGCTTGTGACCACTTTCAAAATGATCCGTGCTCGAGTTCAGTCACAGAGGCTTTGGAAGTCATGTGAGCCAGTCATGTTTGCAACTGTCGGCCGTGGAGTGTGCAATGCAAGTGGGGGCCCGTTCATGTGTGTCCGCTGCACTCAGTGGCAGATAGGCCAGCAGTGGGTGACTGTGAAGTCCCCGCCCACGCGCGGTGGTAATTGGTACCAAGGCCGGATGGAATCATCCAAGCGGTCAGTGGTGAGTCTCAGCCAGGCTGGGCATTTATGGGCCCTTCAACTTATGCCTGTGCACATGGTGCAACCTGCGAATTATCAAGTAGCTGATTTTGTCAGTGATGCCCGATTTGCTGGAAATGCCAAAAACAATTTCAGGATCAAGAAGACGAAAGTGGGTCAGCTGCTGGAAGAGAATCCTGTCATCCGGATTGGGCAGAGGAAAATTAGACGAAGACGGGCAGCAGGCGTTACATCAGTTTATCAAACAGGAAACATTAGCAATGACAGCAAATTTGAACATGGTGAAATTGACATCCACAGTCCAGAGGGAGCCCTTCAGGAGTCGCTCCCAACAGATGACGAATTAGCTGAGATTCTGCCAGCTACACATGGACACTTAGTAGCTAGATCCCAAAGAGCACAAACTTCAGAACAAGTCGACAATTCCGCGAGTCTTAATGAATTTGATAAGCAATATTTTCTGGATGTGCCTTCATTGCAGAATGAAAGGGCGTCATCAGGCGCAACAGTCAACAAGGTCATAGATGTGGATGATAGAAATGAATTTGACCAACAGTATTTTGGGAGTCTGCATGATGTAGACAGGGGGTCTAGTTCCACTTCTGAAGAGCAGGAGGGAGCAGAACAGAAGAGACCTCTATCAAGCAAAGCCAATCAAAAGAGCTCCCAGCCTGTCTACATGGATTCAAGTTTAGCCGAGGACCATTCAGACAACTTGTTTTATGCGAGGAAGACACAGAAGGCATTGGAAGATTTTGATAAGCAGCTGGGGAGAATGTTTGAAGATGCAGGCCAAGACAAACACATTGACATCAAGTCTCTGTTTGAATTTGAACCTTACGAAAAACCGACTGAATTCCAGAGGGCAGATGACTTCACAGAGCACCGGGAGTTGACGTTTACAAATGAGCCAATGCTTGAAGGACAGGTGACCGTGAAGATGCAGACCAAGGCTGTGAAAGCAAAGCTGGAAGCTGATCGCATCTTTTCCGAGAAGAAAGAAGAGTTGACCATCGATGGCTATGACCTCTCAGACCTTGAGCCAGAAATTATCGGAGCAATGAAGGCCATAAAACGGGCGAGGGCTGTCAGGTCTGGCAAAGTGAAAGCACCCAAGGGTCAGAAAGTCTTTGGCAGCCCAGATCCAAGCCTGCCAGCCACAGACGTTTCCTGTTCAGGATGTGGGGCTCAGTTCCAGGCCCACGACCCGAAGCACCCGGGCTTCCTCCCTGGCGAGAAGTACCGGGAACTCTTGGAAGCTGGTGGACTGGAGAGGGCGATGTGTCAGCGCTGCTGGTACCTGACTCACCACCAGATGGCACTAGACGTCAGTATCACAGAGGATGATTACAGGGACATCATCACCTCAATCCGAAGGACCAGAGCCTTGGTGGTTGTCCTTGTAGACTTGCTGGACTTTCCATGCAGTCTGATTCCTAATTTGAAGGCTATGGTAGGAGAGAGAAGACCCATGGTTATTGTGGGTAAGAAATTTCTCAAAGAGTTCTCCTGGTTTCAAGATGCACTTCGGAGGGAGAGACTGTACATGTATCAACTAACTTTACCACACAGTACTACAGAGTAGTACTCATCAATAAATAGCCTTCTTCAGGCAATTGTTGACAAAAATATTACAGCAGTAACCAAGATATCTACAGCTCTTTCACTATAAACAATAGGTTTTCCGGTGAAACACATGGACAATACATACATGTACATGTAGACAAGTACAGGGGACCAGAGGGGGCAGCTGTGGCTATGGAGGACCAAAGGGTAGTACAAATGATTGGAGTATGGTTGCGTGTATTGGCTAATGCACTGGTTCTCATGCTGACGCCTTGTACAGTACATAATTGCGCATGTGATGTATAATGGTTGCATACATGTACTTTTGAAAAGAATTGTAGGTGTCTCAGATTTGGTTTATAGTTTTTTGGTTTTAAATTTGAATAAAATCAGGTACATCGAATTTCTCCACACTAGAGACACTGTTGCTGTACCTTGTGATTCGTAGTAAGCTTTTGCTTAGTTACATAAGAGACGCCTTCCACCAATACACTGTTTTCATTGGATAAGAAGGGCACAAAGGAAGCAGGCTATTCCAGAAATGTTGATCGTTACGCAGAAAGCTTGCCTCGAATCATGAGATACAGTTTAATAAAGGGAATACATGTACATAACGCCCACTATTATCTGTGTAGAAGGCATAAGCACAAGAGCCAGCACCAAACCAACATGCACGCGCACGCACTCCATTCATTTCTGTTTGTAATGATGTCACACTTCAGTATTCTGTAGGCCCTTTTCCTGTGATGTCACAGTTGTGCTGGACTGCCATGCGTTGTGATGGTAATGAGTGGATAGTGTCATGATGGTAATCTACTTATTCAAGATAAACTAGTCAAACATGCCGCATTCGCACTGCGCTTGTATATGGTTGAAGCTGGCCCTAGTAATATTTGTGATTACTGTGGCCAGGGCAGTCCACACATGGTGGCATTGTTTACATTTAGCGCAATCGAGTGATGTGGGTGAACAAGGTCAAAAGCAACAGTGTCTTTAGTCTGGGGAATTCAAATTCTTATTTTGAAAGCAATCAGATTTAACTCAGTGTACCAGATTTTATTCAAATTGAATTTGCAAAAGGCTTGTTGTACTTTGTGGTAATGTCTTTCAGTATCATTCATCACTTTGCAAAAAGGGTTTTTTCCCCATTTTTTGCTTTTTTGGGGGGAGGAATGGGAGGTATTGGATGTGGGGAGGGAGTAAAAGAAAAAAAAGATGTCCACATCTCGGTATTTCCATAATAAATGCACTGTGATTTGGATGACCGCTCTTTATCAGTTCGTCATCATGTGAATGCCTGTCTCAGGAAACAAGGCTGATCTCCTACCGAAGGACTCTCCCGACTGGAGCCAACGCATCACCAAGCAGCTTTTGAAGGCGTGTGTGGAGGCGGGCGTTTGCAATGAGGAGAGTGTGCAGCACGTCTGCATTGTCAGCGCCAAGTCGGGGTTTGGCATCGAAGACCTGATCACAGCCCTGCAGAAGAAGTGGGGGACCAACAATGACGTGTATTTGCTCGGTATGCATCTGCAGTAGTCAAACCATCACTGTGTTGTGGTTTTCTAGATCATGTGTACTTGCAGATCTCAGTTTTTGTTCCAGAATATTCATACAATTAGCAGAAACATCCAAGTATGCATGTCACTATACAGGAGTGTTTCGACAGACTCGTTTTGCAAAACGTCGTTCTCGTCAAGAAAGGATGTCAGAAAAAAATATGTAAACTGTTCAAGTACTGGGCCAGCTATGAATTCAGATTGATCTGGAACTAGAGGCTTTACAAATTGAATTGTGACTTGATTGTGGGAAAAAAAATAACCTGGCACTTGACTCATGAAAAATGACTTGTTACTCAACACAACTTGTATTGTAGAAAAACAGTGCTCAGAGAATCACGATTAGCATGAATGTCTTCAGTCTTTAGAATGTATGATTCGTTAAATTTCTCCCACCCACGAGAATTTGGTTTCCCCATGCAAAGCCCCCCCCCATCTTGCATTGGAAGCATGTCAGCATAATTTTGTGGCCATCTTGTAGATGTATATTTTCCCTCTTAAAGTCCTCTCCTTCTCAAAAACATGGTCGGCCTGTGGAAGTGCTTTTGAATGATTGTTTTGGGCTTTTGAAAAGAAATGTTTATTTTCTGGAAAGAGGATATAGTTGATTTCAAGGACACATCAGTTGTTCCCCTTGTTTTTATAATCTTGCAACAGGGACAGCCAATGTGGGTAAATCTACCTTGTTCAATCGTCTCCTGAAATCAGACTACTGCAAGGCGAAGGCAACATACCTGATTGGCAAAGCAACTATCTCACGCTGGCCAGGCACCACTCTCAACTTACTCAGGTACACAGGAGAAATTACATTATTCCATCAAGTAGCAGTCATGTGGAATGTTCAAATCCTTCTCTTAAATTTAGCAGTCGCCCATTTATTGCCGGCTACATGTAGTCTACCTAGTTTGAGCTAATTTCAGTCAAAACAGACCCTTTATAAGACTTGGGAGTTGAAATTCAGCAGTACACAAAGTCATGTTCGAATACTTTGATATTAGTTTTCAATTGGCCATCAATAGAATTATCATAGTATAAAGTAATCTGTCTCCTTAACTTAAAGTATTTCCCACAGTGAACTTTATAAGGCACCATTTGAAAATTCCTATTGGGTAGGTGTGGGACAGAATGGTCCAACTGATACATTTATTATATGTTGGCTATCAGGGTAAGTGTTCTCAAGTGTCCAATTCTAACTGATAAGTGCCTTTTTATTGCATTACTTCCAAGGCTATGTGGCTTCAGTGGAGCAAAACCCCTTCCATCATTCACTCAACACAAGTCACTTGTTACTGGTCAGATGGCCCTGTGCTATAGTCGACCTATAGGAATTTTGAAATGATGCCTAAGGCAACATCAATGTAGTACTCAGTCCGAGGCACAGATGCCTCGATCTTGGTCTCCAGACTTATAAGGTTTCGATTTCAATAAGTGCACCATTGCTCTGAATACAGTGTAGCAGAATTTGGGAAGAAAACAATTTATACATTCACATTTTAAAGAACAGTGATTGTATTTTTCCATTTAAGATTTCCTATAGTGAAACCAACCGCAGAAAAGATGGCTCTCAGAAATGACAGACTCGTAGAAGAAAAGAGGCAGGCCAAAGCAGAGCTGGAGAATCAGAAGACCAAAGGTGGACTGCATAAGAAGAGGCTAGATGAACTGGCTTATGTCAGAGGCGAGTGGTAATTTGCCCACAGAGGAGGGTAGTGTTTTGGCTTGACAAGAGCTGTATACAGAGAGAGCTGCGACAGCTTCAGACAGGAAGCCATTTTGGTTCCAGAGTCTGCCTACATATGTACTTACAAAATGATCAGTTTCGACCCAACCTTACAAAAGAAGTCACAAGTCACCAGAGCCAATTCTTGACTCAACAAGAGGCCTTTAAATTCTTACATACTTTAAATTACTAGGAAGCCTTGACATTTTTTATCCACATCTACAGCCGATTTCCCAAAAATCTGAATGACTTGTGATGGACTTTGCAGGGACTTGTGATGGACTCGAATACAACACTGGTTACAGCACATATTTGTGGTGTAAGGCTTACACATGGTTCAAAGTTACACCAAAAACTAAATTACTGAAAACAATGAGGACCTCGAGACTTATGCTCTTTGTTATACCCCCTTGGCAAAAATACACAGAGCAGCAAAGCACATGTAGTTGATGTCATCACAACTCCCATTTTTTCACCTTAACCCTAACCGCCGAGCAAATTGTTTGGCTTACAGTACTCAGTACTACAAAGTACTAAGTAATAGCCTGTGCCTGAGGGACCTAGCCCTACAAATTACTACTTCTGGCTAGGTTACTTGCATTGTTACTTGTACAGAGAACAATAAAGCCACGCATTCATCGTGCCAGAGCACTGTATGGTACATTGTTTTTTCCATTGTGTTTTATGACTTCAGAGAACAATACGGTATGTCCTCTTACAAGCGGCAGCACTGATTACTACATTTTACTACAGGTAGTAATTTGTGGTATTATGTGTGGTTAGGGCGAAGAGTCTATAGAGAATAACTACAGCTGTAAATAGCAACGTCATTACAGACACAGCCTAAGATCCATTAACATATGTCTGTGAAGTGTGCCATTATAAATAGTTTTCAGTTGATCCATATGGAACAATAAAAAGATGATCTCCAGATGTATAATACAAAGACGTCATGCTGTGTTTACATGTGCACTTTCCTATGGCATTGAAATGGGACTTGATCCATTGAGCCCCCATAGGAAAGCACAGGTGCACATGTAAATAAAGCATGATGTCATTTTTTTAGGTCTATTGGCCAGCCACTGCGGCTGAGAATGGGATATCAATGTGGGTTCCTCCCCAGGTATGGCCAATAATCCACTCGCCCCCTC